AATTAAATATTTATAATTAAATATTTTAAATAACATATAATTTTATTAATATTTTTAAAGCAATATTCCACCTAATCAGGGTGGTAAATATGGAGGATTTGGTTATCAAATGAATCCACCACCTAAAAGTTTATCACAAGAGTTTTTTTGATAATGCAGTATCTTCTTTAGCAAGTGTAAGATAACTAATTATATTTATAATATTATATATTAGAATATTATAAATATATATCTAGAAAAAATCTGTAGTATTGAATATTTTAGGGTTGGTCAATACTTTCTTCATCAGCATCAAAAATAGCAAGCAAAGCTACAGAAAATGCCATTAGAACTGGAGAATTAGCTATACAAAAGGTATATGTATATATATGATAATATTTAATATTTTAATATAAAATATTCACATTATCATTATTTTTTATATTATTAGTTATTATTAACGAAAATTAATAGTAATTATTTATTTTGCATTTAATATTTGTTTGTAATATTATATATTAGGAAATTTATATTTAGTAAAAAATTATTTTTCAGTAAGCAATTATTTTTTCTTTTTTGTTTTATTTTGTTTTGGTTAGGTACGTGATGGTACTTTTTGGGAAGAAGTTGGAACTCAAGCTAATAATATAGCTGCTAAGGTAGATAGATGTTTGCTAAATCATCATTAATAATACATATAAATTATAAAATTTAATTTGATTAATATTATAACAAATAAATTTTTATTTTATTTGATATAACTAGATTATTATTATTATTAATTGATTATTATTTTATTTAAATAATTAAAATAGGTTGGAGATTTAGGAAGAAGAGGATGGGGTGATATTGGTGGAACAAATTCAATTGAACAAAATCAATATAATTCACAAGAACATTATCAAAGTTCTTCCACAATCTATCAAAATGTATCACAATATCATTCTCAAAAACCTTGTTTAATGAAATCATTACAATCCAAGTGAGTTAATAATAATTTTATTACTGAAATTATAAAATACTAAATTACAAAATTAAGTTAAAATATTAAATATTACTTAAGGATTAAATAATTTTAATTTATTAAATAATAAATATGATTTCATAAATTATTTTAGAAACGATGTATCAACTGCAAATTCTTCTAATTGTGAATGGCATTGGGATAATGATACAAAAAAAATAATGAAATAACAGATTCTAAATCTCTTCCAAGAAAATCAAAAGACAAAGAAGAAACATTAATCAATTTTGATGTTGATAATCATGTATCTAATTGGAATACAAAACTGGAAGATGATGCATGGGAAATATTAAAAAATTAATTATTTAACAATTAGAAAATTTTTATCAATGTTCAAAATTTTTAAATATCTTATTCATTTTTGAGCTTGTATAAAGCAATATAATAGTGATTTTTATTTTATCTTCTTTTATTTTATCCTTGTAATGTGAGAAATATATGTAGATACATATTATAAAATTAATCATTTATAATTTATATACTTGTACAAGTATGTATATATTGTACGCTTTAGTAAGCGTAAATAAATGTCATATTGCAAGTTAATGTACTCCAAATTTTGCTTTATACTCTATGTATATTAAAGCAAAAGAGTACATTTTATCTTTTATGTATTTTATTTTAATTAATTTTTATTTATTATACATTTATATTATTTCAAAAGTAATCTAATCTATATTTTAATAAATCATATTATTAATATTTATGTATGTAAATTAAACAATTGCAAAAAATTTTTTTATAAAATATATAAAACAATTTTAGATTATAATATGTATAATAAATACAAAATATACTTTAAATTAATGTTATATTACTATTTATAATATAAAATGATATTTCAATTTATTAATATTAATTTTTTGAAATCAACATCTCATTTTTATTATCTTATATAATTTATATAAAATAATTTTTATCACAAAATATAATTTCTATAATTTTATTGCATAAAATAAATTATTTCATTATTTGAAATCAATATTTATATTATATATAAACAAAAAAAAATCTATTTTTATTAAAGAAATATATTAAAACTTTAAATATGTTATAATATTTATTAAATTATTATTAAACATAAGTGCAAAAAATTATAACTGCAATATTACAATAAATGTCCTTTTTTTCCTGGATATACTTTTTTTATATTTCTTCTATTATAAACTTTGCCAACATATTCCCAAATATCTGTCTTACATTTTGGCCATACCTTTTGTTCTATTTTTGATATTAAAAAACATAACAAATCTCTATCTTTTGGTGATAAATCAAAATATGATGATTGTCCAAAACATGAGCGATAAAGGAAATTATATATTGATCTATAAAAATATATAATTATTAATAAACATAATTTATTAATATTATATATTATTTTGTATTACATATATTAATTTGTATTATAAATGTTTATATTATACAATATTAATTATATTATATATATATATATATATACCTGATATCATAACCTTCTAATTCAGAAGGAGATGGATGATTTTCAAATAATTGTATAAATAATAATGCTTCTGGTATAAGACTGTCCTCAGGTTGATACAATCCACATTTCAGCCATTTGTTTAATAATTCATCTTCATATAGATTTTTTGCTGTTTCAGAATATTTAGAAATTGTTGATTTAATATCTTCTAAAGGTATATTTGGTAACATTTTTGATATAGCGTCAATATTTTCAGATCCATATTTTTGTAATGCTTCTAACAATATTTTTTTATCTTTAATATTCCACTTTGTATTTGATTTTGATTCATTATTGCTACTTTCTGGTTCACTATTATGCGTCTTCTTGTCGATCTTTTGTATAGTTTTTTTTTCTTAGCAACATCCATTTTTATCTCTAATAACAAAATAAAATTGTTTCATTTTTTTTTATTTTTGTTTGAAACAATAAATTTAAAAATATTATGTATACTATTAATGTATTATGTTATATAATAAACATTTGATCGTATAGTAGAAGCAGCATTTAACGCATGCTTACACACACATTCACTAATACTATTTATAGATAAGTTAGTTATTAGCAATTTTAATCTAGATAATGAAAAAAATTTAAACAATAAAGAAAGTACGTTACTATGTACATACTTATATATTTTAAAAATTATAAAAAATAATTATTTTTTATCGGATTCTTTAAGTCTTACGAATATATTAACACTCTGTATATTTATATATTATTTTTACATAGCAATCACATATATAATAAATCATTATTTATTTATATTAAAATAATTATTCCTTTGAAAATTCTTGGAAATAAAAATCATAATTTTTAATATATATAAACTTTTAAGCATTTTTGTATATATATTTAAAATATAATATAAAGGAGTGATTGAATAAACTAATAGTATATGATATAAATTTTGATATATTAAATAATATGATTAATAATTATTCTTTTGAAAATTCTTGGGAAAAGTATATATTTTCTAATATTAGAAATTTTTAAACATTTTTGCATATATTCAAAAATATAATGCAAATATTGAAAGATTAAAACTAATAATGTATGTAATAAATGTAATAAAAACTTATATATATATATATATATATATATATATATATATATATA